TCAGAGCTTCAATGCTACCAAGTGCATCGATGCCGACTTTCGAGAACAAAGAGTCGACGGTACTGAACATCCAATCATCGGCATTGACAAAAACTTCAAGGCGGTCTTCGTAGTACTTGTCTTGATCGAATGCAACCTCTTCAGGTGGCGCCAGGGCGTCAGCATTTGACTCTCGAGCTCGGGTCCGTCTGCTTTTCATGCGGCCACCCTCAGGTTCTTCGTTCGCAGCAGATGCAGACGATCTTTTTCGAATGTCCACTGCAGAGTTCGTGTCAAATTCTTCTACATGAGTCCCATCTTGTTCGGCTGGTTTATCTTGTTGCTGCGTCGATTGACTTTCCAAAGCCTCCATCAATTGTTTTTCAGCACTATGATCGATGGACGACTGTTCCTCACCTGGCTCAGAGGGCTCTTTCGTTGGCTGAGGTGAACTTTGTTCAGGCTTGCCATCATTTTCAGTTGATTCAAGCATCACGTCGGCAACCTCACTGCCACCCTTGTTTCCGTGCCCCTCGCTATCTATGGTCATTTCCGTGTCCTCCGCATTTGCGATCGGTGTAGTTGGAGCTTGGGAGCTTCTGGCTGGTAAGATTATGCCAATAGACCGAGTGGGAACATCAACGAGCGAGTCATGATCGTCATCATCAAGTGCTTGGAGAAGCGCCTTGCCAACTGACTCCCAAGTTGGGTCAGCAGGGTTTATCTCTCGACGGGAAGTGTGCATGGCAAGAGGGCCCTTCGACGGATTTAGATGGCGTAAATCGGCGGGAAGGGCGGGCAGGTTCGGATATGGATCCTCATGCTGTTTGAGGTACTTCAATAAAGCTTTCTTTGGCCTCTGGGCTGGGATTTGCGAGGCAGATAACTTGTCAAAGAGGGATTGCAGCGTGCTTCGCAGGCGCTGCTCCGCAAATACCTCCTCTAGTCCAAGCTGCTCCGGCCGTAATTCCAAGCGGTTGTCATCGTCCGCTAGCACACTTTCCAAACAATACCGAGACAAACGGTAGCTGTTTAAGGAACTGCTGAGTCTTGCACTTTGCCTCCAGAGGTTGAGATCTGAGTCGTCACGCTCCAAAGCATCCCCGAAAGATTCCAAGGCTTTTCTCGATGCCTCCGTCAACTTCCTTTGTGTTTCCTGCTCGGAATCGGGGGTCTGTGGCGCTGTTCGCATGGAGTCTTGTACTGAATCGAGGACAAATTTGCCGTAGTTCTTATAGGACAGATAGAGTGTTTGGAATAGACTGGAGGTGGAGTCGTTCACGTTGAACTCGGCGATTGATTCTGTAGCAATTTCATCGTGCGCATCGTCGAATGCACCCCTTTTGAAATCGGAGATAGACTCTGGGTATTTGAAGATCTCCGAATTGAGAAGGGCTTCATAGGCTTCTGCAGCCTGCGAATAGTGCTCTGGCCCTTGTGAATGCAGCTTCAGGGCACTGTGATAAAGCTTTAAAGCTTCCTCGATCTGAAGCTCCTTGGTGTCGTCAACTTCCTCTTCGACAGCTTCATCGGGCTCAACATTCAATGCGACCCAGCTCGACATGGTGCGAGCTTCGCGTGGGTCCCTCAAATATTAGATGGGCAAGAGAAATCAGGCGTCAGCATCGGGCAACCGAGACCCTAAATGCGGGCAACAATAATGAGCAAATCAATTAGTTATCGCGGGCCAGACACGTTATCACGCGTTTGTACTAATCGGGGAAAGTGTTTGGTGCCTGGATGCCTAGGTGCCTTGTGGCCTTGGGGCCTTGGGCCCTTTTCTGGGGGGGCAGTACAAAGTAACTAGTTACTAACAATTGGAGTATTCTTAGATCACTCTTCACTTTCCCCTCAGCGCAACCCCTGAAACGTCTTACGATTCACGCAGAATTCACTAATTAAGATACCCTCATCTTCGATTCCACCGCGCTTGTGCAGGCGCCATGGTCGCGCCCGCTGTCCCTGAGTATGTGCTCCTATCCCCGTTTACGTGTTCCCCGGGTTGCGGGTTGCGTATGCATGATCAATTGTTTGAGATTGTCAAGAATTGCCACTACGACAGTTACAGGAGCTATGACTGACATTGGGGGAATTATTTAGGATTCACGAGGAGGAGGATATCTATGTTGCGGTCGATGCGCGAACGGAGTCCTTGCAGAGCTTGCGAGAACTAGGCCCTCCAGACCTGGTCTATTTGGTCAAGCAGCCCAAGGCCAATTCGACTCGCCAGGTAAGATATAAGATACCAACATTCCTTCCATGATATGATCTCTCATGTGTGAACAATTGATTGATTTTCTATCTATCGCAGACCGGAGTTTATCATCATGTCACCGGAATCGATGCCTCCTCATCCGCTAGCCTAGCCGCCTATGTTAACACACTCACATTTTCTCCCCTCGACAAGACGCATAAAGTGGTGTCGGGCATCTACTGGTTAGATCATAACCATTGTGTGGCGTTTGGTTCATATGCTGATGTCTATACAGTTGCTACAATGCGTTCTCCCATCTCGATATGCGCGTCGAAGTTAAAATCCCCGGAAGCTTGGAGAGCTACTGCATTGATGAGCGGGGTGATAAGCGGGTCGCCACTGAGGCTCTTTGGCTTGAGACCTTCCTTTGCGCCGTTCTGAGGGCTTATCTTTATGCAGATGATGGAAGTGGAGATTCGGTCAAGAGAATTGTTGGTGTCAGACGATTCAACCCCGTGACAAACACGGAGATGGAGCACAAATTCTTGGATGCTGCCGAGAAGCTTTTCTTCTTGGGTATGGATCTCAAACCAATTGGCCTGTTGTGTCCCTGACTAACAATATTTTAGGACGTCAACTGAGCTCTGACCCCGAAACCCAAGTCCCTAACACTGTGAGCAACCATCTCACATCCGGAATCCTCAAATACATCCACACGACTGGCCGCTATACCTCCGGAATCAACTTGTTTGAGAAGCTCCGCACAAAGGATGTAGAGGTTTCATCCCTCCTGGCTCGTGTACAAATTATGGCAGACGAGGAGGTACAAGCGGTACGCCTCATGTATGACGCTTTACAAGATGTTCCGATGGATTATGCTCTACTTGATTGCCAGGCTAGCTTCTGTCAAAGCAAAGGCGAAAACGAGATGGCACTTGAATGCGCTAAGCGTGCAGTTACTGCAGCTCCCAGCGAATTCAGTACATGGGCTCGCCTGGCAGAGGTATATGTCAGTATGGAACGCTGGGACTTGGCGCTTCTGACTCTCAACTCTTGCCCCATGTTCACCTATCAAGACAAAGATACCCCTCGCATGCCACAACCGTCACGCATCATGCTCCCAATTCTTGCTGAAAGTATTCTCGATGAAATCGACGAAGGCCAGCCAAAGCAGGGAGACCCGCACGACTATGTTCACCCTTCACTTCGGAAAATCCATGCTGCTAGTTACCAGGGTACTTTCTTAAAGGCCTACAATCTTCTGACCAAAATCGCTGCTGCCATTGGATGGGACCAGCTACTGAAGGCTCGTAGCCAGGTTTTCGTGATGGAAGAAGAATACCGCGTTGAGCGGCAACACGTTCCTAAGCCCGCTACATCATCGGGCGCGGAGACCAATGGCAATAGCCCCGGCAACGAAGATGAATCTAGCTCTGTGGCTGGCCCTGACTCGACTGAGCCATCTTCGGAAGAAACTACCAATGGAGATGTGGGAGACAACCACGCTGAAAGCCCCCTCGAGCGACCGGAGCAAACAGTGGCATCCGAAGTTGTCAAGTCTGGCAAGGAGGATGTATGTTACACACCCATCAGAGATGTATTTTTTTTATATGCTAACTGTTTATGTCACAGCCTGACCCATCTCACGCCGCATATACCCAATTCCGAAACAAGCGACTTTGTGAAAGGTGGCTAGATAACTTGTTTATGGTACTTTACGAGGATCTACGCATCTACACGATTTGGCGGACCGAAATGGCTCAGTTCCGTCAACAAGCCATGGAATACAAGAAGTCTGCTACCGAGTGGGAAATTCTTGGTGAGCTTGCGCAGCGACTGCACCATTTCGACGAAAGCATTGAGGCATACCAGAGCTGTCTAGCCACTCGGTTCTCGCCCAAGGCTATGCGTGGAGTGTTGAAGTTGTACGAACAACGAAATGACACCAGAGGCATGCTTGGCGCGTTGATCCGCCTCATCGCCTGGCAATATCGTTGGTACTCCGAGGTATGCTCCTTCCCTGGCTAATGTCTGTTTGACGACTATAACTAATAACCCGGCAGTTCTCCCCCGAGCTTCTGTTCCTAGTTCGCAAGCTTATTGAGGACGAGGGTGCTGTTAAGGTCCGCAGCATTGTCCAAGCGACCAACTTGCCTCAAGCCGTCCTCGATCTCACACACCAGTACTGTCAACTATGTGCCACCTTCCGCAGCAGTGGTAGCGACACTTAAATATGTTGGCAACGACCAGACACAAACTGAGTTGGAAAACAGTTTCATGTCTTCCCCTGGATATCAAGATAGAAAGCGGGGCGCATGCAGGGCTAATGACCATCCTTGATTCATGACACCTCTTTTATTTTCACTTCCTCTTGGTCCGATTATTAGGCAGTTTTCTTAGATGGTATATATTTTTCTTTTCTATGTTCCGTATCTGGTCGTGTGCCTCACTCAAATAGGTGGATCTCATCTGGACTAGTAGTTTGGGGTTTGTATCCATTTGGGTGCATTGGGAACCCACTAGAGTGGAGAGGAACATACGATTCAGCCAGTAGATGCGCTGCAACGGTGATTTCTATGCACGTCATCTCCAAGTCCCCCAGAATACACCAAGGATTGGCTACTTCCATGAACTAGCTTGATGTCCCTGGATCTATAGATCAAAGCTCACTAAACCACAGCAGTGACAGCACTACATCTACATTTATAGCAACTCTGGTTGTATACAGGGGTTATCATAGCAAAGCAATTCAATGACCCCAAGCGAACTCCATTTCGGTTTAACATGAAATTCTTGCCTCGACAAAACCAAATCCCCGATCGCAAAATCACTTCTCTTCCTCCCCCTCCTCCTCCTCCTCCTCCGCCGCCTCGACCTCCGGTAGATCCGACTCCTTGGGAACAACATCCCCCTTGTCCTCAGCGGCATCGGCGGCAGGTTCACTCTGGGCAGCGGTATCAGCGGCACTCTCTTCCACGTCTTCTCCCTCATCGGGCTTCTCGTCTTCTTCGCCCTTTGCGCCGTTCTCAGCCTCGTCGTCATCGACAACAACGGGTGCAGTCTTCTGCTTCTTGGCTGCCGGGGCGCCTAGAGAGGGGTACGTGTGTTAGCGTGTGTGAGGGTTGGGGGTGAAGAGGATATCCATAAAGGCGAAAAGTTGAAACGTACCTTCGTCTTCGTCTTTGCCTTTGGCTTCGGGTTTTGCTTCTGCTTCTTCTCCTTCCTCGTCTTCGTCAGACTCAGACTCTCCCTCCACCTCTTCCTGTTCGCCCTCGTCGCTTCCTTCCTCTACGTCAGGCTCGGAGTCTTCATATCTAATTCACCGCGCGATCGGATTAGTAAAGACCGATTGGATTTGAAAGGTTTCGCGCGATATTATTCAATCCACAGCGGTTTCGAGATGGTGTCGCGATGGATGCGCAGCTATCACAGCCGTGCAGAATTGCAGCGGAATGATGCGCAGGGCATTGGTGCAAGAATGGGAAGAAAGGGAGAATTGATAATAGGATGGAACAAACTCACTCTTCCTCCTCTTCGCTCACGTCGCTAGGAAGAGCCTGGAGCTCCTCCTCGGCCTCTTGCTTTCTCTTGCGGGTAGTCATAGTAAAGAATTAGGGGGTTGGTGAGAATTAACTAAGTGTAGAGGGAAGGGAAGGGTGAATTTATGGGAAAGAGAGAGAGAGAAAGTTCTGGATTGGCAAAAGTCCCGAGTCTAGGGGGACGGGAATTATAGAGGAAATTAGACGCTCTAGGAAGAGGGAAGGGGGAAACCCCCAAAGGCATAAGCGGGAGGTGACGGTGACGACATGGGAGTGACAAGACTCTTAGGGTTGAGTGTCCACAGATGATAGCTTACACCCCGGGTGGAGTCTGGGTGCGTGGTCTATAACTCAATGGTGCGTGTCCCCATTTCTCGTTTACATTCCGTGCCCATCATGGTATTCAAAATGTTTCAACTCTTGATATTTGGTATGGTATCCTTGATATTCCAGGTTTGCGTCAATTCATGCCTCTCTTATGGGGTCTTTATGGTCATTGTGTTAGAAACTCAAAATCTGCCATACTCGGATCTAGCAAATTCTCATCAAGACCAAATCCGTATGTGCCGACCATGCCATAGATCAGATCTGGCGGAGGGAATCCCTGTGCCATGGCATTGGCTCCTCCAGGGACTTCGCGACCTTCCGCTGTAGTATCATTGTTTCCTTGGAATTGCCAAGAAGCCTCCCAAGAGTCAAAGCGCTCGAGCATCTTGCCTAATCCACGTGCGATATGTCGAGTAAGATGTCGCTCGCCTGCAGAGACACAATTCATCAATTCAATCACACGCTCAACTATCCGTCGCACTTGGCGAGCATTGATGCTAAGGTAAGCGGTGTTCCAATTGATTGCAACCTTGAGTAAGAAAACAGCGGAGAATGTAACCATAGTGTGCGTGAAAATCGGAACACCGACGATCGCATCTCGAATATCAGGCTCCTCGAGAACCATATTGAGACATGCCATCGCCGAGGAAATTGCGATGTTGGCCGATTCCTTACGGTCCATAGAGAAGACAGGTGTGTTAGATGGTGAAAGCGCACGAAGAGAAAGCGAATTCAGCTGGAACTTTGCAAAATGGTAGTGCAGAACCACCCCTTTGGATGGATAAGTCCGCACATAGGCACTATCAGCTGTGATGCGTTCCAGGCTATGTTAGAACCGAGAGTTGCAGAGACTTGGGTTGACAAATCACTCACCAGATCGAGGCTGCCAGAGAAGTCGCCATTGGTCTACTGCGACATTGTATACACGCAACTGTCCAAAATCCTCCTCGGTCAATGCTTGTTCGGTGTCGCTACCAAACATTCGATATGCCTCAGTCAAAATCATAAAGAGAGCAACTTGGGCTAAAAGTCGAATATCTCCGGGAACAACCATCGGCAGCGCGAGAAAAGTCTCATAATTACGAATCACCACATCCTCGTGAATGACAGGGGGTCGCCCATAAGCAATACTGAAGTGGTGATCGCACACGTAAAGCAGATACCAGAGCTGGGCGCGTTCATATTGATCCGTGTGACCACGAGTCAGGCGCTGATAACTTTGATGGAGGCCCATCTCGGTCGCGATTCGTACCGCATGCCCGGACAACTTCCAACTCAATTCTGATAGCCAGAATGCACCCACGCAGAGGCCTCGGATATCATCCAGAGTGTGAGCCCGCGTGAGGGCCATGCTGGACACGAGTGATACATACTCGCTGTAGCACCGGTTCAGGGTTTCGGTTCGGTTCGGGATATGGAGTGCCGCGACAGTCAAGACCGCAGCGGAAAGAAGCGTCGATGCGCGGCGGACGGATGTTAAATCGCGGTGTACAAGAATTATTCCACCCCATAGTAGCTGGTTCATAGTGCGACTGAAGTACGCGAATAATTCATCCGCTTCATGGAGGGATATCAGTCGTCGCGAGATAAAGTCCTCCTCTAGCAACGTCTGTTTCGGTGCCTCAACATGATTGTTTCTCAGGTTCCGTAATTTAGTGACCTCGTATAGACTGCGCATAGGAGCAGGGACCAAATCTGGGTCTTGGAGGTCCTGCTCCGGCGACGGCTCCCGGGTAACATCCATCACAACTCCCAATCCCTCCTGGTGACTGGTTTGTGTCTGCGACCGATCGACGGACGGATGATGGCCATGATACGACTCGGCAGGACTGGGGCCATTGAGGGTGTCCCCAGAAGGATAGGTTGAGAGCTCAGGCAGTCCGCCTTGTCGTAATAGATGCGAAACAGCTGCCTGCAGCTGATGCATAGTCGCATTTGCCTGTGATTTCCATCTATACCAAAGCCATTGGATTAGCGCAGCCCCTGATAGCTCCAAAACTCGCGAAACGGCCGGGGCGGGGTCACACGTACATCCCATCATCATCAACGAATTTCTGTGAAAAGTCGTTTACGACGCACTTGATACCGCTACGGGTACATTTTGTACAAGTTGTTTCTCCTGTTCGAAACTCGCAGCGAATCTTATGGCGCTTGCATTCTGCGCCTGCTCCCCGTTAATTTGGGGTATCGGAGATGATGTGGGGAAGACTCACATGCACGAGCTTTGGAGATTTTGGGGGCAGAACGTGTCTTGTTCTCACGGGGTGAGTCCAGCCCAGCATCATCAGGGGACCGCTTCAGTGGAACAGTGGTATCCATGATGTTATGCTACTTTAGCTGAATGGTGTGGGAGGAGTCGGTGATACTCCGGCATGCGGGTTAGGGGCGAGGTCTTCCTCGGAGTGGGGAAGCGTCGGAGTAAAGCGAAGTGGAAGGACACAGACATACGCCGAGAAAGAGATAAATTGCAATTATATTTCAAGATTGATGTTATGGCCAATGAGGATACACACACGGAGTTAGTCTCAAGAGAAAGGAAGAGAAAGAAAAGTTGTGTGACTTGGACCCCTCTCTACCCTCCGCGGACTCGACTTCCCCGAAATCCACACCTGGACATTGTTCTATACTATGAAATGCTGTCGGTTATCAATATTATGGCTTTGATAGATCTAAATGGAGTTTACTCCATGAATACAGGACATTATATCCTATGTCTTTATATCTTTGGCTTCAACTGGCAGATCACTCACAGTACCACCAGGGCTGTGGACAATCGAGGGCATTCCCCAGGATTTAAGAGACCCCAATTCAGGCCCTGGAACGAAAGAGGGCCCCGAAAGACAAAAACTCCAAGGCGATTCGTGCAAAGCAGTTCCACAGCAGATCCACTTGGGAACTGTGCTGTGCCGGCCCAAGTCCGGTGCGGAGGACCACCTAAAGATCGCCTCGGACTTGATGCGAATGCGGAGAGAAACTATAACTTACATATTGAAATACCTTTCCCTCCAGTATTCCTTGTTTATTACAATATTCTCCAGAAAATGCATATCCTCATCACTGGAGCTGCCGGTTTCATCGGCCAATTGCTTGCAAAGGAGCTGTTGAATGACCCAGCCTATCGCGTCACATTGACCGATATACATCAACCCCCGATTCCCGCCGGCGTTCGCTATCCCCAATCCGCAACGGCAATCAAGGCCGATCTCTTGACAGGAGCCAAAGACATTGTCGATTCTTCTTTAGACGCCGTCTATGCCTTCCATGGCATCATGTCGTCCGGCTCCGAGGCCAACTTCGATCTGGGGATGAGTGTCAACATCGATGCAACCCGCAACCTGCTCGAGGCGCTCCGACACACCTGCCCAGGAGTGAGGGTCATATATTCGTCCAGTCAAGCCGTATATGGCCAACCGTTGCCAGAGATTGTGACCGACAGCGTGATCCCAACTCCAGAGTCCTCCTACGGTGCCGAGAAGATCGTGTGCGAAACGCTGGTTAACGAATACACTCGCCGCAAGTTCATTACTGGCTTCACCTTGCGATTCCCTACCATCTCCGTGCGACCGGGTGCGCCTACTGCTGCAGCTTCATCATTCCTCTCCGGCATGATCCGGGAACCCCTCGACGGCAAGAAATGTGTGATTCCCATTGAAGACCGGCAGTTCAAGTCGTGGCTATGCTCGCCCAAGACCCTTGTGGAAAATCTCCTTCTCACTCTCCGTCTCCCTGCCGACTCTGTTCCCCCGCACATTCGCCAGATTAATGTGCCTGGGATCTGCGTCACGGTTCAGGGCATGATGGATGCATTAGAAGCAGTGGGCGGCACAGATAAGCTAGCCCTACTTACAGAGAAGGAGGACCCTGCGCTGATCCCAATTTTGAAGTCATGGCCGACGCAGTTTGATAACACTCAAGCCATATCCTTGGGGTTCAAACGCGACGAGTCTTTTGAGCAGACCGTGCGGGATTATAGGCAGTCATTGGCACAATAATTATTATATAAATTTTAAAAACTTCAATATTATTGATTGGTTTTTCTCGGCCCTGTTGTGATTGCACCTACAAAAGATACAAAGAACGCATCGTTGGCTTTTTGTAAATATATAAACCAGACAGTTATTCAAGCCAGTTGAGACACTTGTCGGCCCAAGTCACCACCTGCAGCCCGTTTTTTTTTCCTTGTACACAACCCACCTCCCTTCAACTCTGGGACTACTCATCAGGCGACTTGGGTGAGATATTCGATAATCTCCCTCTCAGAATAATAAAATATTCTAAAATGCGGACACAAATATCCGTTCTCGTGTACAAAGGCGTGCCAGTAGACTTCTCCAAATACCGACACACAGCGCTGCGCGCACTCTACTCCGACGGCCAATATGATTGGCTTCATGTTGTCGGCTCACATCCTTTCTTTAAATTCCAAAAAGACAGCGAGAACCCCATGTCAGAGGAGCCGATAGCTTGGATTACTGTGTGTACTGCGCCGAATTCTGTCACCAAGGCGAAGATTATTTCTGCATGTGCTTGCACGTCGGTGCGCAACAGCAATAGTGACCGAGACTGGAACTGTCAAAACTGGGTTGGAGATGCTCTGACTGAGCTCGTTAAGATCGGCTGTTTGACCAACGAAGAGCGTGCAGCAGCCATTAGTAAAATGGTGGAGACTATTTTGGAGGCGGAGCTGGAAGATGTGAGGTATAGTTGTCCCATGAAGAACATTATATCTGCTAATGTGGACTTGGTGCTTGTGCATAGGATGGGATGTTTTAGTCTATATGATCCTCTTCATACTCTTCTCGGCTATAGGAGTGAAATTCATGCCATATCACCCCACAACGTAGAAGACGTGCATCGTTAAGAGGCATTTGCAATGACGAAGTTTCTTAGGGGGGCTTCAGTAATGATATTCATGGCCTCATGTCTCTTGATACATCATTGTTTAATGGAACTGAGTCAGCTGTACATATACCACCGGCACACAAAGCAGAACATCAGCCCAGGGGGATCATTCCCAAACCTGCGATTCTCTTAGCACACATCCTGGAATTCGAATCAACAGCTCGCCCAAACCTGTCCATCTATAGCAATAAGCCGATTGAACAATTGGTTCCTCGTCCCCATGGCAGTGAGTTGATATGACTGCCCTGGCTCCTTGCCACTGATGAGCAAACCATCAACCACCTCCTTACTACCAAGAGCCCAGCCAACAACCAATTTCCCCTTCCATCCCATACCGCCTAACTTTCGCATCTCTTGGATATCAGTCACCGGCATACTGAACAGAACAGATCCACTCTTGCGATTCTCCAACTGTGCGTCTCCTTTCTGCGGTGTATCGGTTGTGAAATATAGCAGTGGAGGCTCCTTGGTTGAGTCGATAATCACAGTGCCGCGCTTACCTTTGCATCGGGCGTCGAATGCCACAGGCCCACTTGGTGTTATCCTCTTCCCTCTATCACGTAGGACGCCGACACGATTCTTGGCATGATGGGAACCGGTTGCTGCTCGCAAGCGATCAATCCCTCTTTTGCTCTCAACACCACTGGCCGTGGTTCCTCGAAAGAAGCCCAGAATTCTAGACCCCAATGTCTTTTTGTGGCTTTTCTCTGGTGGAGCTTGGACCTCCTGGGCATGCTCATCAGGCTTGACAAGTGCAGCTTGTTTAATTTCCTCGTCAGTGGCATCTAGAGTCAGTTCCTCCTGGTTCAAAGATGCTGGGCGCGAGGGCACTTTGTCTTCTGAGGTTGGAGGGGGTGGAAGTGGCGACCCATTAGCCTCGCCGATACGGAGAAGAGTAACGGCCAGCTGAGCATTTGTTGGGATACCTTTCAGAACGGAGCTGTTGAGAGTTAGCAATGTGAATACATGCATGGCTTGAAAATATACTTTTGCAACTGGACAAGCTTCCGCCAATTCGGAAGGTAGCGATTTAGATATACAATCCCTTGTCTGATGACAGGGTCTCCGAAGAAGGCAAGCCCGATTGAAAGTGTACTGATCTTCATGAAAACGTAGCAAGATGTCAGCATTGAGGCCAGGAATGCCGGGCCCAACACAGCCACTAGTCGCAGGCGAGGACTTAGTTGAGGAAACGGGGGCGTTGCAGACAGAGCACTAGATAAAGTTAATTCAACTCCAAGCCGTGGGGAAGACAGCCACAATTCATTTACTCACTTGCCCAGCTTTTCGTAGGTATCTGTAATGTCGCCTACCACTTGCATAGAAACGTTTGCAGCGTCCATCACGCTCTCCTTCATAGGCTGTCGTGTTTTATCATGGGAGTCTTTCGGTACATTTCCATGGGCAGCGCTTTGCGCATCGGCAGTATTGGCAACCATATCCATCGCGTCTGGTACATCGTCTTCAAAGGGTGCATCATCAGGGACCCCTTGATCATGCTTTCCGACTGCGCTTCCCACGGCGACACTGGCAACGCTTGCGACAAGGTTACTGGCCTCTTGTTCAGCTGCTTCTCCTTTGAATTTCTCAGGAGCCCCAGTAATACTATCATGAGATCCGAGGATTCCCGCCTTTGGCTTTTGTATACCACCTGTATCTTTGTTGACAAGAGGAATTGGAGCGGGAGGGAACATGACTGATCGACATGGGGGGTAGACCACTAGGGCAATTAGGGTGCCCAGGATAGTTGGAACAAGTATATCGAAAAGCCATGATACGACGTAAACCTGTATCGAATCAGTAAGAGTACAAACAAAGGCTATTTATCCTTAGAATGGGGACATGCCGTGCAAAAGGCAGCGGTTCGTCGCGGCTCCTTCCAAGACCGTAGTCGAGCAATATGTTTGATACAATTGGTGAAACCAACAATAACGGTTGTGTAGAAACGTTCAAGTGTAGCCCTCAGTTTATCCGGCGAGAATTCATCGTCGTCTTTTCGCGTGAGATCTAGTCTCTGCGCAGGAGCATCGGGAACTGCTTTGACTCGATAGACTTGCTGAAGTGCAGAATGGGAAGGTCAGTTCCAACTTCTCGTACATGTGAAGTTCTAAGCATATACCTTGTCAAATCGTCGAATAAGCATCCACAAATCCTCATTTGATAGCCCGCCCACTAAAGGTTCATCAATGGCATCGGGAGATTCACCCCATCCGATGTTGGTAATTTCTGCTGTGTGGCCAGCTTTTTGTGAGAGGCCTTTCTCATCCTGTTCCACCCGAGACAGCACATGGCTCTCAGTTGGTCCCTTTGGGATATCAGGATCTGTAGTAAGATTGCTGTCGGCCTTACTCGTAGTGCCGTCAACCGAAGCAGATAGCATGGCCCGTTCGTCTGCTGCAGACCTGAGCATGAGATTGGAGTAAAATATCGGAGATTAATTTGAAGAATTTGTTTTGTTATATTGAGGCCTCATAGGCTTGATAGAGAACGTCTATCCATGGGTGCTGAAACCTGTCTTGTACATGCGGGTTGTCGACGTCATCTTCCCTCTTAGGGTAACGGTGGCAATCAACACAACAACTTTAAAAGCTTGGAAATTGGATTATATTAGTAACGGATTGTGTAGAACATATATGATAGTAGAAATGTTAGACTGGTAAAAAAAATATATAGATCTGGCTCTATTGCTGGGTTACCTACAGAAACCGCCCAAGTGCCGTTGGACCTTGGAGATTATCGAATCCCGGTTCCAATTACCACGTAAACACGCAAGATAAATGCGAGCCGATATTAAAAACCGAGCATGTTGAAAGTCCGCAGACCAGGTAGAATGTAGATTAGGAGCAGTTCTACAAAAGACCTCGCTGCCAATCGTCAATCTATATATCTCTTATCATCACGTGTACCCATGTAGTGCCTCTATGCCTGATTTCGGCCTGGCAGAAGTCCTCTATACAGTTTATGCTTTTTACCCACCTTCATATACATCTAAAAAGACCCTTAGTTTGGATGGGTGAAAGGGCTTTGTTTTTATAGGTTGGTAGCACATGGTCTTTTCGTTCCAAGGAGCTTACCATAGTGCACTGCACTATACTTTGTATCGAGAGGTCTGAAAGCGGTCTAAAATCTGGTGTAAATCAGGCACCATTCAGGCCAAAATCAGGCCAAAATAACCCTGCTATACAACTGGGTACCACGTGCCAGTCGCGTTCCCAAAAAGGCAACATCACTTCGCGTCCAACCGGCGAGACTTGCCTTGGTGATAATTAGCCCTACTGATCTGCCATTTAATCACTGGACACTTGGCTCGCCATGAGCGAGGAGTGTGCAAACCCCCTGCTCCTGGAGTGGATCAAAGAATGGCTAGATCAAGCTCGAGAGCGAAACAGCAAAGGCGTGACCGTGTACGTATATCCTGGTACCCTTTGGGGGAAACTATATCTGATATCTTGTAGGTACAAGAAGGCTTATGAATCAATGAAAGCCTGTCCGTTAGAATTCCAACATCCATCTCAAGCACAGCAATTGAATGGACTAGGTCCTAAATTGTGTGACCGCTTGACTGATAAATTAAAGGCTCACTGTGAAGAAAATGGACTTCCAATGCCGGAACCGCCTGACAAAGGTTTGTGGTATCAATTGCACTGGCTCCCGAAACCGACGCTCAACTAGGGTCATATAGGCGGAAAGAGAACATCCGAAGGTGGCGTCGATCAACAGGTGAAGAAGCCTCGAAAAGCCAAGCCGTATGTACCGACATTACGATCTGGCCCATATGCACTGATGCTGGGCTTGGGAACTCAAGATGAGAATGCATCTCAGGGGATGACCAAGGCCCAACTGATCGAGGTGGCCCAGCCATACTGCGACAGTTCGTTCACGGCGCCCCCGGACCCGACCAAGTTTTACACTGCATGGAATTCAATGAAAACTCTCATCCAGAAGGATCTAGTCTATGAACATGGACGTCCACTTCGGAAGTATCTTCTTTCTGAAGAAGGCTGGGAGGTAGCCAAGCGTCTCCAAAGAACATTACCTGGCGCTGCTCAAACCGCCACGTCTGAGTCCCAAGCTACTGCAACGACTGAGTCACAGCAAGGAACATTGACAACCGAACTTGACTCATTGCAGCAAGATGATGATCCATCGGCACAGGCCCAAGAAAATTTATCGGAGCACGACATAGCCAACATTGAGCCCATCTTCTTCCCACCCAAGAGCTTCACCATCCAGCTCGTATTGGACACCCGAGAAGTCCGCACCTCCACCGACCGCGACTACATCTCTGGTGAACTGATGAAGCAAGGAATCACGCCGCAAGTACGCGCCCTGGAAGTTGGCGACGCGATGTGGGTAGCTAAATGCCATGACCCAACTTTCCTCACAACACACGGCGAAGAAGGCGACGAGGTCATGCTAGACTGGATCGTTGAACGAAAGCGTCTGGACGATCTGATCGGGTCTATTAAAGACGGCCGCTTCCACGAACAAAAATTCAGACTCCGTCGCTCCGGCATCAAGAACGTCATCTACCTGATCGAAGAGTTCGCAGTCACGCACTCTGACTCGACTAGTGGGAGTGCAGCACAATACCAGGAGATGGTTGCATCAGCCATCGCCTCGACACAGGTTCTTAATCAGTACTTTATCAAAAAGACGAAACACTTGGACGAGTCAATCCGGTACCTAGCGCGTATGACTCTGCTCCTGCGGAAGATGTACGGGGTCGAAGATGCGCCCTCCACCGGAGACACTGATAGCAATATCAACCGTAACACAGCTCCTCCGTCTCCAGTATCCAAAATTGGCCTCATCCCCGGCCGCCGTCTCTCCACTGACTCCTACCTCACAATCCTTGATAATCTCCGCTCTCAAGACCCGTCCATCACGTACGGGGTCTCATTCGTGACGTTTTCCGCACTCACTTCCAAGTCCGACGTTCTTACTCTTCGTGATGTGTACTTGAAAATGCTTATGTGTACCCGTGGCGTGACGGGCGAAAAAGCCCTTGAGATCCAACAGATCTGGCCAACGCCGCGGCATTTGATAGATGCATACATGGCTCTAGATCCTAAGGAGCGAGAGACGATGATAGCAACTCGGATGTCAGAAGCTGTAGGGCGGAAGAAAGTTGCTAAAGATCTCAGCAAGCGCATTGCGGAAGTTTGGGGGAGGTGAATTTGCATTAAAAGGGTCTCTTATTGAGGCTAATTTGGAACAGACTTGAGTGTTGAGCTCATTAACATGTATTAGATACAAACATAACGCCAGAATGAAATAAATTAATAACATATAATGTTTACCTCTTCCATCTCATAATCTTCATAATACTTTCTTTATCAATCCTCAAAGCCAAGCTACTTAGCACAACAGAAATGCTACTCAAAGCCATAGCCAGAGCAGCCCACACTGGACTCAGTCTCCAGTGCTCATTGGCCATGATCATCTCGCCGTCAATCGTTTTCTCATGATGGCCACTCACGATAGGATAGAGCACACCAGCAGCAACCGGAACTAAACAGAGGTTGTAAATTACCGCCCAGCCGAAGTTCATACGGACTCGATTGAACACACGGCGACTGAGCAGGACCAGCTGCAAAATCGTGCTGAGATCTGAGTTGAGTAGAATAAAGCTGGCAGAGTTGATAGCAACGTCAGAGCCAGATGCCATAGCGATGCTCACGTCTGCTGCTGCCAAAGCAGGCGAGTCGTTCACTCCATCGCCGACAAAAGCGACGATAGGACGTGGTGTGCTTGAACTCGATGGGGTAATGCCCTCAGCTGGTGTTGTATCCAGAGAGCGTTCTTGAATCTGACGAACAAAGCTGGCTTTCTCCGCTGGAAGGACGTTGGCCATCACCTTGGAGCGTGGGATGCCTAGCATGTCCGCAACGGCATGGGCGGTGGTTTGGTTATCGCCAGTGCACATGAATACATCGACATGACGCTTCTGAAGCTGAGAGATTATACCGACAGCTTCCGGGCGGATCGTGTCTGAGGTGGCGAATATAATGGCGGGTATGAACTTGGATGGTTCGGTGGGTGGAGGGTGTATTTGACGGAGTGAGAGAACTGCAGTCGACTTGCCTGATGACTGATATTTTGCCAGCAGGTTGGAAACGAAGTATGTGTCTGTTTCGGGGGACAGTAGACTCTTGAGAAGACGTTCATTGCCAATTGCAGCTTCATATTGCGTTTCATGCTTGGAGCCAGAGACAGTAAAGGTTCCTTTCATGCCCTGCCCGGAAATCTCATGAACGTCCGAGGACTTGACAGAAAATGATTTTTGTGTCTTGCAGAATTCAGTGATTGCCTGCGCAATCGGATGGTTGCTGCTCTCTTCCATTTTCCAAGCCAGAGCCCAGGCGGCTTTCGCAACTTCTGGGTCATTGGTCAGAACTTCATGCTCAGAAACTTTCAGACTTCCACCCTCAGTCAATGTGCCTGTCTTGTCAAACACGATTGCATTCAAGCGACTGGCTTCTTGGAAGGCTTCACCGCCACCTTTAACCAGGATACCATACTTCGCTGCCAGGCCACCTCCAACGAAAAGCGCCGTAGGGGCTGCAAGGGCCAGGCCGCAAGGACAAGCCACCACAAACACTGAAATCGCAAATTCGAGCGCCCAGAATGTCCAGCCGCCATGTGCGACATCGAGATAATCTGCGGGGAGCACACCAGAATGGCCAAGCGCCAGCCAGATAACGAAAGTGGAAATAGCGATCAGAGTGATGATAGGAACGAAATGGGAAGTGAGAAGGTCAGCAACTCTTTCGAGAGGTGCACGCTTGCTTTGTCCCTCACGAACCACGGCGATGATTCGATCAAGCATAGATGAACCACCTAGCTCGGTGATACGGATCCGTACCGGCTGGCCGACATTAACTGAACCTGTATAGACTATGTCGTGGGCTGTCTTCTTGACTGGTCGCGACTCTCCGGTCAAAGAACTCTCATCGAATTGGTATGACGCGCTGTCGACGATGACTCCATCTGCAGGAGGCGAGGCGCCGTGGGGAATACTGACGACGTCACCAACCTCTAAGAGATCAACACTCGTACGCTTCACTCCACCTTCGGAGGTTTCATCAGATAGTAGTGCTTCTGAAGGTCGAAGCTTGCCCAAACATGTGACAGCATCGCCAGTTTTGGCTTTGCTGTAGGCCTCCAGGAATCGACCAGCAAGAATGAACAGAGTCAAAAAGACAACTGAGTCGAAATAAGTCGTGCTATGGAGGCTGGACTTCGTACCCACAACTGCATCAACGATAAGTACTGCCAGGGATGAGATATAGGCCACCGATGTGCCTGCAGAGATCAAAAGGTTCATACTACCAAAACGGTAGAACCTCCGAAGGATCGGTACTCGACTTCCAGGACGCCATAGCGCATAAACTTCCTTCATAGCGCGGACATGGAACACATCGGTGCCGTAGAACATGACAGGTGTTGACATTATAAACAACGCCCATTCGATGCGGGTGACACTGCCAGACCACATGGGTTCCTCCAGATACATTCGAACAGAGTTTTCAGATGAGACAAGAGACATGAATACAATGCCTATAAGGAAAGTTGGAATGGCACTGATAAAGACGAAAAGCAATCGCGCCAACAGACGGCTCCTTTCATGGTGCTGGATCGCACGAGATCGGTCTTCGATGCTGGGCGGGTGATAGACAGTCGCGCGAAAATTGCCATTCGCCGAGTTGATCGCCGAGATTATTGTGCGAATTGTGAGTGAAGGTGACTGTGGCGTATATGTGACTTTGAGAATGGGGGGTTTTCTCGGAGAGTGCCTCCTCGATGGCGACACCGGGAACCAAGTTCACTGCCCCAAGAACAGTTTGTGGGCAATGGTGACAGAACATTCCATCCACATGTATAGAGATAGTTCGGATCTGAGCAGTGCTGAGCTTTTCTGTGCTACCTTTTAATGGGGAGACGCTATTGATTGTGGCGTCGTATCCAAGGTCTTCAATCCTCTCTATGATTTTATCAAGATTGTTTCGGCCTTCAAATTCCACCCTTCCGCTATGAGAAAGCAGGTTCACAGACACATTGCGAACGAAAGCAAGTTCTTCAAGCCCTCGAGTCACCCCTCCGACACAAGAGCCGCAGGTCATGCCGGTGATTGCAATCTCGCTGACATAGTTTGCTGCCAGCTCTGCAGATGCTGGTGGTTTGGGGGCTTGGTTCACCTCATCAAGAGATGCTTCAAATCCAGCATCGTTGATTTGCTCAACAATCTCGTCAACATTATTGCGAGGTCCAACATAAATTACTGTTGCGCTATTGGTGAGAAGGTTGACAGTGATTTTGTTCACGAACCCAAGCTGTTGGACTTGTGCGGTGATACTGTTGGCACACGATGCGCAGCTCATTCCTCCAACGCTAATCTGTGCGATGAACTCATCGGTTGATTCAACGGACGGACTGGGAAGTTCTGCTATGTCTGTTGGTAGTTTTGGAGTAGACACATCGGGTTGAATTTTTGTTTCGGAGGTGGCAAATGAACGAAGACTCTCCTGCACAGCATTCTCCGGAGTTGACTCAAGTTTTGTAGTAGTTATGTCTTGTTCGTGATGCTTGCTCAATGGGTGGAAGGGACTCTGTGATGATTTCTCGTCCAAAAATCCTAGGTCCGTTCGAGAAGAAGAATGACGAGGAAAAGTTTCTAGCTCTTCCTTCCTGCATGCATCACAGTTGGCAATATGTCGCTTATGTCTGCTGGTCTGGATTCGCTCTTTAATGTTGGATGAGATACTAGAAACAGAGGTTCGCGGCGAGGAGAACAGCGTGGAGCCGCGGTGGTTCCATGAAGAGGTGTCAAGTTCCGCGATAAGCCTTCCTTGTTGGTCAAATGTTGTCACATGGTGTACTTCAAACGCGGCATGAATCAGCGCGTTGACGAGGTCGGCCGGCCGAACGGTGGTGCTATGGCTCGCACGCACTTCGTGCGTCAAAATTGTGACTTCGATATTTCTAACTGAAGGGGTCTCAGAGAGCACTTCCGTGATATATGTAACACATGATGCGCAGTGCACATTTGATACAAAGAAGACACTGGTCTGGGTATCGAAGTCTTGATGGGCTGCCTCCAGATCGGAAGAGTGGTTCTTGGGTCCTGAAGACATGATTGACCGAGATTTCTGCGGCTCAAAGACGAGGTATAGTATGTGATATATCGATCTTCGCAAAGACTCAAGAGAGTCGATACTTGGAGGGTCTTGCTTAGACCAGGTTTGGAAGAGGCAGTTGTTGGGATTCGATTTTTACAGAGCGCCCTAATATCAAGGTGAAGGGAAGAGCGACCAGCGGTGATCATTTAAAGCAAAAGCTGGGAACGGAAATTGGTTTGCAATGCAATATTATATTTCATTAAGAAAGAAAAGAAAGGAAAATCCTAGAAATGGGTGGATAAGTTGAAACATGGCAACGATGCGCCATTTGTGCGCGATTCCTCCAAACCACGCACAAATACCGCATTCCAGACATCTTGATCATGACCCCCTGCGGCGCCTATGTAGTATGCCACTAGTCTAGAGGCTGGTAATCAGGAATGAGACCGGATTCCCGTATTCGACATTGTAAAAGCAACCGTTTCACGTGTGTGGAGTATCAAGTCTGATGATGCTGTGCAGTAGTTGATCATGGATCATCCAGGAACCTCAGGCACCGAGGGGCAAGGAGCGACCGAGGAGGGGCGAGGGGCGTGACAAAGACCATATGCTACTAAGCCTAATTGGGCTAGCGTGTCATAAATCAATTAAGGTCACGTGACTAATCCATACAACGTAGGATCCATCAGATCAGCCATTCATGTAACAATAGACAATAGATTAAGGAAATTCTTGGAGCAAATTGTTCATTAGTATTTGACTCAACTCTCTATTGTCAAAATCTAATCAATACAACTTCGTGTCGTATGTTCGAATTCAGCTCTGCAGGGCTCTTCTGGTCAGTTACATAAGCAGGTTGAATACTTTTTCCTCTCACTTCACTTTCCGTCCTTATCGCGATTCTCGTGACAGTCGATAAACCCTTCGCTACAAAAAAAAAAAAAGCTGCGCGACGCCCATTCAAGAAATTCCGAGGCTGTGAGGACTCGGCCTCCAACGAGTGCCCCTGTCTACATTCAACCTCTGAAACCTCTCACTTTTTACTTCGACCAAAATGTCGGCGCCCAGATCCGGCACGCGTCCAATCCCTCCCCGCGGGCCCCGGCCTCCTGTGGGACGACTGGCCAGTCTAAAACCTCCCAACTCTACTCCTATCAATCGTCCAACTGCTATTGGACGTCCTCAACCACCCCGCCCGACAACACATCCCAAAACATCTAATTGTCCAAACCCAGGATGCCCTGCTCCGCATATTGTCGATGACGGAGGCGTGAAGGTCTGTACAGGCTGTGGTACTGTCATCAGCGAGAACAACATTGTCTCTGAAGTCACGTTCGGTGAATCCTCGTCTGGTGCAGCTGTTGTGCAGGGATCTTTCGTCGGAGAAGATCAGACACACGTACGCAGCTATGGTCCAGGTTTCCAGCGCGGTGGCGCTATGGAGAGTCGGGAAATGACCGAACAAAACGGAAATCGGTATATGCTCCAACTTTCACGGGCATTGACTATTCCGGAAAGTGCGACCAAGGCTGCCGGTCAGGTATTTAAGCTTGCCGTGGGCCTAAACTTTATTCAAGGTCGTCGCACAAAGACGGTAGCTGCAGTTTGCTTGTACATTGCATGCCGTCGTCAAAACGGCAATACTGTCATGCTGATTGATTTCGCGGATGTGTTGATGATCAATGTCTTCAAACTTGGTCGTACATACAAGGCACTTCTCGATGAACTCCGCCTGGGCGGCAATGTCTTTCTCATGAATCCCATCGATCCCGAAAGTCTGATTTATCGTTTCGCTAAGCAGTTGGAATTCGGACCATCTCTCATGGCGGTGGCTGGAGAAGCAGTCAGGATCGTTCAACGGATGAACCGTGATTGGATGACCACCGGTCGACGCCCAGCTGGTCTCTGTGGTGCCGCGCTGATTCTTGCCGCGCGCATGAACAACTTCCGCCGAACTGTACGTGAGGTTGTGTATATCGTCAAAGTGACAGAAACAACTATCAGCCAGCGTTTGAACGAGTTCGGTTCCACCGAGAGCGGTGAATTGACGGTTGATCAATTCCGTTCGGTCCAACTAGAGAACACCCACGATCCCCCGTCCTTCACTCGCGGGCGAGAAGGTCGGAAAAGCCGCGTTAAGAGGGTGCCAGAGACCGCGGCAGAACTCGAAGATGACGACTCTCCAACCGAAAGTGAGACAGAATCAGTGCAGCCTCCTCGTATAGATGCCGACGGTTTCGCTATTCCCAGTCTCCCTATTGACCCGGCTTTGACTGCAAATAGTCACGGTCGACGTGCATCGGTAATTGCCAAGGCAGTGAATGAAGTCGTTGAAGATATCAAAAACGAGCCGATCCACTCCAAGGGCAAAGGCAAGCGACAACCCACACCAGAACCTTCTGCCGAACAAGTTGCATCTGAAGCAGCGCTTGAAGATGAAATGCGATCTATGCTTGCTCAAGGATCAAATATGATTGAGAGTGTTGGCTCCGACCAACCGCAACGCCCCACCGTTTCCGACAGCACTGAAATTGATGCTGCCGAGTTTGAAGATGACCCCGAAGTTGCCAATTGTCTGCTCTTGCCTGCTGAAGTCGAGATCAAGGAGTCGATTTGGGTGACAGAAAACAAGGAGTACCTCCGCATTCAACAAGCTAAAGCCCTAAAGCGAGCCCTGGAAGAGTCAACCGGAGGAGGCGCCCCCCGCAAACCACGCAAGCGTCGTCGTGGCCGCCTTGGAGATGTCACCTATCTGGAGGGTGAGGGCGAAGATGGCCGTAGCTCCCGTGCCTCAACACCGGCCGAGGCGACACGTCGCATGCTAGAGCGCCGAGGTTACAGTAAAAAGATTAACTACTCTCTCCTGGACACCTTGTACGGCGGCGAAGGAGGAGACGCAAAGGATGCAAAGTCACAAAGCATGAGTCGCAGCCAAAGTCGCAGCCAAAGCGTTATCTCACGGCGCAGTGCCAGCATCGAGCCAGAAACAGCCTCACGATCCCGACGTGCAACTCCGTCAGATGCCAAGTTCGATGCCAAGTTCATCCGTCCTGGTTCTGCTGTTCCACTCCCTACTCCACCCTTCACTCAGGACGCAAAGCCAGCCATGACCAAGGATGGCCCCTTGAATAAGGTTGAGGCAGACCCCGAGGAGGAGGAGGACGACGACGACGAGGAGGACGATTATGATGACGACGAGAAGGATGATGGCGTCGACGATGCATTTGCGGGCAATTACGAAAGTGACTATGATTATGGTGACGATGACGACTGAGGGTTCTGACCTCGGAAGTTTTGTTGAGAATTTTTCATGTCCTTTCGGTGGTTTTGGAGTTCATTGGGATGCGATTGTCATCCACTTGCTTTGTTTGATCTTGTGTTTCGAGATGATACCATGTCTTACACCCACATGAGCGTTGGGGTTTCTGAATTGAATTATCATATTAATATCCTACCATTGCAATTGTACCTTGCTCGGTTGCATCTATGTACTCTAGGAAAAGCACTCACTAGAATTGGGCAACATGAAGCCCTTTAGATCACTATGTAATGATCATTGTCAGTATACCACACCTCCATCGCCCACGTATCCTTCAACATAAGCAAGTATCCTGAATGGTCAACCATGCCACCACTGCACCGCAGTTCCTAGTTAGCAAATACCAAAACATGGCATTAATAAAACCTCACTTTTCAAACATTAGGGAGACATTAGAGGTAAGGTCACAAAGCAGATAAAAGCATACATCTCGGCCACGAGGCAAGGATACATCGCATACAAAGTCGGGCGTAATAAAGTCGACATAGCTGACGGTAATCCTTTGAGGTGATGTAGGTCACCTGGCCAGACCTCCAACGACCAATCCAGTGATCGCAAATATCAAGTATCTGGCAGCGTGTTTTACCCCAGCCATGAAGAACACGAGCCCTGATGTTGAACACACAGATCGTCTCCAAAGAAACATAGGATAGTTCATCTCGTCTCCCGTAGTCAACCCCCCATTGAAGAGAGAAGCGATCGAGAACTACTGTCTTCCACCGGTCAGCAGTCTCCGGGTCATTTTCTTCTTTGGCACTAATAGTCCGGATATCGGCGCGAATGTCTCCTTCGTAGGTGGTTTCCTTAGATTCACGTTCCGTCGTCGATGGAACTTCAGACCATGCATTCAAGACAGTTTCGCGTTGAACGCAGGCTTCATCTCGTGTACTCCGTTTGTTTTGTAGTAGGCTTCTGATAACATCTTCGATGTCTTTTAGTCTTTGGATAAGGCATAATGCTCATCTCGCTCGATCGATTTTTCTTTCCTTAGGCTACTTTTCCATCCCACGTCCGTCCTCCAGCTCTTTAAGTTTTATGAAAATGTCAAGGTCATTTCATTTGTCCGCCCCGCGGCTGTCCACGAGCTCGGTCGATTCTCCCATCCTGCTTTTATCCTCGTGCTCCTGGTCATCAACTGAAACAAAAATGTCTATCTCCATGGTGGGTTCTGGTGCTCTCGCTTTAAAGGTTTGTTACTGAGGTGGGAATTAGATACGGCATGCCGTGGATGTGTAAAAGAACAGTAGAGAGGAGTTGTATGAACAGATTGGTATTAAATGAAGATAAGAATGCTTACTGCATATTGACGACTTGATTTCTCGAGATGAGGAAAGCTTATAAGATACTAAGCCTTTCTAGGATTTCTGGAAACCCTCGGTTCGTAAGAGAAAAAGGGCCTTTGTATTAAAATGGAATGGGAAAATATTATATGTGAATAGGCCCCTCTAAAAAAAGATAAATCTCCTACATATCCAGTTAACATTGTGTTGCATTCTATACTTTAACAAATATGGATTTGCTGCTAACGTATTGCTACTTGAAAGAAACTTGCCTTTTTTGGCTGCTTTTTCTCAAACGAGACAACATCCATGGATGTCTTCAAAGCTTAGTCAAGCTACATTACCAGAAACCCAAGAAGGATTTTAAAACTTTTTGATTTAATGAGATAGATAGTTGTAGATAAATAACGTCGTCA